GCTGATGACTTTTTTGCTCAATTATGACATCCTTTAAACTTAAAAAAATGCTTGCATTACAACTAGTAAACTGGATAATTCATTTTTGTAGACACTATTCAGACTGAAATACCTGTCAACCTGAAAACCACATAAAAGCCCATGCAGCCAGCCCGTTCACCTGGCTGGAATTCACCACGGTTCAGCGATTTTACCATTCGGTCGCTGGTGGGTGCCACACAAGTTAATGCTATTAATGAGTAAATTACATTGATTTTATATTCAGAATTTTCAACAAAAAAAAAAAAGGAAAATACCTTTTTTTGTGTTTACATAAAGTACTTATAGCATATTCATCTACTTTAAATATTACATAAGATGCATTTTTCTAAAGGCAGAGCAAGGTTTCCTGAAAACCTTATAATTCCAAGGGTTCCACAAGTTTGAAAACCACTGGTATAGTTTAACAACCCGGCTAGTCAAAACTGTTACTAAAATATGTTTCTTAAATATCAAATGTGAAAACAGTCTAGAACACATTACTGAATTGTTTTGGCACAAAAATCGCTGTTTGGAAAGACAAACTTTTTTTAACTAACGTAGATTAGGAACCCACTAGTTAAAAAAAACCTACAGAATATTACCTACAGAGTAAACAGAAAATTTTTAGTTTATTATTTATTTGTTACGTAACTCCACCATCTGGCACTATACAGAAAGAGATGGATGCTGCTCCGTAGAGGACTTTATTAGAGGAAAATGGATTGAATCCACACGTTACACATGGGCAAAACCTTGAAAATCCCAATACAGTCAGCCTGTTCGCCTTTTCCTTCCTTTAGACCAGAGTTCCCTAAATTGTGATACATGTAACATCTAGGAAAAAGGAAGGATACGCACTGCATCGAGTAAACAAGCACGACTAAACGAAAACAATGAAATGAGGCGAAAGTAGAATAGTTAAAACAAGAAATAATTTGAAAAAACTTACATCATTGCACAATAACCGGCAGCGCATAAACTAAATGGGGGGTATTCAAGACCAGAATTGTTCAGCTGAATAGCCACGCGGAAATTGAACGAACCAGTAAGAAGTACATCTGAAATAACAAAAACCACAAGAAAGCACAGGCAAGGATTTTACTGGTGAAAGAACAGAAACAGGAGGAAAGACTATGGAAATGGCAAACATTTGCGAACACGTATGATCTTTCATTGAAACCTTGCAAATGTGTACCGCTTCAAAGAGCTGCCCTACATAGAATGCATCTAAACCTCTGGATGCTGTCCGGAGGGGTGCCACCCCCCTGATCAACCTGGGGGGAGACTTTACATGTCAGAGATCATCCATAGCCAAGCATTGACTGGGGGATGCCAACAAAATCATTACAAGCATGCAAGTACATGCTTTCTTACGATGCCAATCTGTAGATAACTTGACTGAACTCGTCAAATCTATTTGGAGTGTGGCACTCAAGTTTTAACAATTTCATATACACAAACTTTCATCACAAATTCTCCTGCAATGATGCAATAACTAAAATCTTAGACCAATAAAACACGAAGCAAACAATATCAATATTCGATATTTCGTTCATAAACTGAAAGCTGTTGCCAAACGATAACTTTCTCTATAAAACATTTCTAACAAAAAATGATACAAAGAAAAAGCCATAAAACTATAAAGATATTTCGGGCTTAATTTATGCAAATAATGTTATGATGGGTTGGCTAGGTAATACTGAATTTTCTAAAAAAGGAATAACATAGCACTAATAAGATATTTTTTGATAAAAATCCCACTGGTCAATACTTTACATGACAATATACATAGAAATGTTTAAATACCTCAATCAATTTTTGTGGTATATAATTAGTTTGATTTCTAATATGCAAAATTTTCCTATATGCAACATAAATAATAAATAAAAGATTTTATTTATTTTATAATTTTGACAGCTTTCATTTTGAATTTTAAAATTTCGAAACATGAATACAGTCAAATACCGAAAATCTGCCAACTCCTCAAATCCGCGTTGCCTCTCGGAATATAAACATCGAGTTTATAGGTTCCGAAAACCGCAACATCGAGTACGAAATATCAAAGAAAAAAATACTTAGCGAATAATGATGTCATAATTACCGACTAATAATGAGTCAAAATGGAAATACCAAATTATTGATATAAAAAAGTTTAAAAAATAAGATAAAATAAATAAGTTTTTTCCCCTCTAATCTGCATTGAGGTAAAAAAGCAGACAATTCACTCAACTCTTTGTTCAAGTTCACAATTAACGTTGCATTTTCTGAGCTTTGTTAAATCATTTCACGAGATAGTTTAATGCTGCCCTTTTTTTATCCGGATATTTTGTGGATAAATTAAGAATATTTTTAATTTCAGCCCTTTTTAATGCAATGACAGATAAAAAACGCACTCGTGATTTTACTGCTTGCAATGGTGAAAAACGTAAACATGTTGCATTGACGGTAATGCAAAAAGTGCAAATTCTGCAAAAGATGGAAGCAGGTGCTACTCCTTGATTCATAGCAGAATGGTATGGAACTGCTACACTATTGTGTATGACATACCGAAAAATAAAGAAAAGCTGTTGAAATTTTACAGCCACAGTGATTCTAACCCCGGACTCCGAAACCGGAAATCTTTGTACGAGGCGTAATCAGCAAACCTCGATGGTGTGTACATATAATACAATGAATAATATAATAAATTTATATATGTAATAATACTTTAATGCATATAATAAATGATTGCAATAATGTATACAATAATTTAATTAAATGTATCTAATACACCTTATTCATTCTGCACTTTTAATCCGAATATTATGTTTTATTTTTTCTGTCCTGAAATCTGCACAACCTCTGGTCCTAAGGTTTGCAGATTTCTGGAATTCTACTGTACTTGCATCTTTTTAAAATATTTTAGTACTTGAAGTACGTCTGCTACCAATAGCTGTATAAATAATTGCTACACACTTTTATGGACACTCTGTATTATGTTTCAAACGCACTGTAATATAAAACCTCTGAAGATGTACCATGGGGGAACTTTCCATTATAAATGGATAATTTTGAAATAGAAAAGATTTGCCCTTATTCTGACAACTTTTTTTAAAGACATTTATAAATGAACCTTCCCATTTTGCTTGACCATCACCTTCCTTGCCACATGCACATCATTTGTTTTTCCGAGATTGGCAAGTCTGCATCAGGGTTTCCTTTAAACATTGCATTTTTTTCGCTGCTTTATCGGCCAGCTCAACAACATCAGTCACCTTGAATAAAACAAAGGTGTATTCTGACTTTTTGTTGCATTTCATTTCTCTTTAAAAAATACCGTAGTATTTGGTTTAATTTCTTAAAGAACTTTAAGCAGAGACCGATTATGGTTTTTCTCTTTGAAATTTCTATCTATTCAAAATCTAGCCTTGTAAGAGCTAATGTTTCTGCTAAGAAAACAGTAACAGTAAAAAAAACACAGAAGATATATGCGAAGTTTTGGTATTGTTAACATTCTTAAACTTTATAAAAATGTTACGACGATTCAAAAACATAGAAATGCAATAAAAAGGCTGTTTAATCCATGAATGAGCAATTTTAAATAATATAAATTAAACAGATTTGAGAAAAAGTATGTATCGTGGAAATTTTTTAAAAGAATCCTTTCTGCTGTTGCCATGCATTTTGTTGAATGCTGAGGTTCACTATTCATTAGAAAATTATCAAATCATGCAAGGCAGAATTTTAGGTGTTTGCGAGAGATCTGGGATTATTTTACCTATAACATAGACCTTACATACATCACCAATATTATTAATTTAAAAAATACGTTAAATTTAGGGATGAGACAAAAAAAAAACAAAAAGAAAACTCTGAAAGATTCTTCAGATTTTACATTACGCCCAAAGAGGCTTTAACATTTTGTGCATTACCTTTATTAAATATCGTGTTGTTCGCACTTAAACCATAAAATGCAATTCAACGGAAATATTGCAAAGTAATTTCAAAATCAGCATATCTTTAAAATTTGATACACAGTCTTGTGCTAGAGAATGCTTTTTTTTTAAAAAAATGCTTTTTTTTTATTGCTCTTTGAAATCATGGAGTTAAATGAATTTTTAATTAACAAAGTTTTACAAAATATGAAAGATAATAAAACACATTCTGCATTCGAGCTTCCAGATGCCCATATTCAGGTAGGGACTTATTCAAAATTGGATGGCTCTAGGTACCACCGTTTTATCACGACAGAAACATACATACATTTATGCAGACTATTCATTATTATGAAATTAATAGTCCTTCTGGACAAATTGCCCCTTTGGACTAATAATCTGATGGAAACAGAATTTTATACCGAAACTAAAAAAGTTAAAAGTATTTTTTTAGAAGTATCAAATACATGTGGTTGAATACCCCAAACTTGCCATATCTCAATTTAATCGTACATTTTTGATTGAACATGAAAGGAAGGTTAAAAAATCATTTAAATCATAATAAATTTCTTGACTTCCTTAATTCAAGTTCCAGAACCTGTGCTTCACAAACACTTAGAATTATAGCATTAAAATTATTTCTATTGCCCTAGTCTTGATTTCCAGCTTTTGGATGCATTTTTTCCCATAAATTGTAATATGATTTTAATATATATTTTGTTGCAGTAACAAATTTCAGGATACATGGGACAAGAAAAGATTAAAATTTAAAAAGGGCTCGAGACTATTTTATCCGACTTTCGTTATGGCAGTCATTCTGTCAATATTTCAAAGCAAAATGTGTTTACATAATTATTAATAAGTATTGCTTATAAGTATTGCTAAAAACAAAGCATTAAAATATGCATGTATGCATGAACATATCTAATAATATATTAGATTATAAAAAATTGTTTTACTAAAATATTTTTGCTAAATTTGTGTATGAAACTGAAGTTGTATTAAAAACATGGTTTAATTGGTTTAGATAATGTAAAAAAATAATAAGACTCATTACTAACCACAGACATATTAAAAAAGCAACTTTATTAACACAGTGCAACTGTTTTTTTATTTACTTCAATATGGAACGGGTTAAATATGGCTTAAAAATCAGAATTTATTACTGCTGCTTACATTCAGGAGGAGGCTGAGATTGATTTTGCTGTGTCTGCCCTCGAGACTTCTTTCGATTCTAAAAAGAAAAATATAATCAATCATTTAAGCAGATATAGATCTGTATAATATGCTTATACTGAACTTTGAAAATTCAAAATCTTTTCCATTTAATAAATTGATATTTTTTGGCAAAAGTCAATGGGGAAAAATAAGCATTCAATAAATATATATTTAATTTACATAACCATTAACCCTTTGGCCTATAACCACAAGCCTGACTCGTGGTAAAGAATTTGTGTTAGAAACAAAAGCCCCAATTCTGACTCGTGGTGAGGAATTTGTGCATAAAATGCAGCATATTATTATTCAACAAGCGATTGGAGTTCATTTACATCGAATATTTTTCCTTTGATTGCAACATCAGTATTTTTTTTTTTCAGTTGTTTCTGACAAAACTGTAGTCAGTATGAAAAGTATACATCTTGTGCCAGTTCGGGGTACACGGCTGAACAGTTGAATGGCATGGCGCGCAACCAACTTTCTTGTTTACTATAGCTCGCACAATTAGCAGATATCATGTAGGTCAAGGTGTCAAAATTAAACAAGCTTCCAATTTTTGGTTACTGTATATGCCAGTTTTTTTTTTTTTTTTTTTTTTTTTTTTTTTTTTTTTGTATCACCAGATTTTGCAACATTCTTTATACAGATCTTTTAAAATTCTAATGAAATCAAAATAATAGACTCCAAAATTAATTTCAGAACGTGAAAATACTTCCAAAGTTAGGTTAATGGTAATACATTATATGACTAATAAAATAAAAAAAGCAGTAAATTCCAAGTTTTTACTGCACCAACTGTGAATATTAACTCCTTTGATATAATTTAAAACATTTTACGATACCATTTTTGATAAATATTCAAGTTGAATATGAAGCATTACATTCTTAAGGAACAAATTACACTCTGCATAAAAGACCGCCAGAACTATTCCTAAACCATATTGTTAGCTAGTCTGAATTAGCTACTTCAAAGACTGATAACTAATCATACCTTATCACTAACTAAAAAATATGTATTTTTGTCAGTTTGGTTTTTAAGTGTTCAATAATTCTTAAAAATCTAAATATTCTTTACTTATATATGTTGTATAACACATTCTATTAACAACTTTATAAAATTCAGAAGGTTTGAAATTTAATAGAAGAATTGTGAGCACAATGTATTTAAGTAACACGACTTTCAACATGCAACGTAATTTTTATTAATATTTGTATACAGATAAATATATCACCTGATTTAAATACAGTAAGCTTTCTTTAAAATACAAAATTGCAAGAAAAAAATAAATTTGAAAATGTACAACTTTCTTGTTACAAAGCATGCACATTAAATCTAATGACAATTTACCAGGCACTGATTATCGTTTTCATCATCATCTTCCTCCTCCTCTTCTTCATCCTCATCTTCATCATAATCTTCATCTTCCTCTTCATCCTCTTCTTCATCAAACTATAATAAATATCATATAAACAAAAAATCAACTTTTTTTAATTTACACTAATAGTAATTCAAAAACTGATGATCTTTAAAAACACTACATTTTCAAGACTAACTTAATTACAACTTATATCAATAATATGAAGAAACGTGCCACATTACAAACATGTACTGCATTCATACTACTGCACTGGTTTTCAAATTTATTCATAACTAAATATATCCTAAACCTAATTTAAAGAATTAAAAGAACTATGTACTTACTTCATCATCCACTAAATTTTCACCAGTGAAAAAGAGTACTGCATGAGGAATGATTCGATCTTTTATCAAGTTACCAACTTCAAAATCATTATTCAAGATATTCTGAGTTTCATCATCCTAAAATACAGAAAAGTAGGTATTAAAATAATTTACAATTGAAATTAATAATTAATAACTGTAAATTAAGTAACTTATTAGGAGTTCCAGAGAATATATTTAAAAAATCAACTTTAATACAAATTTTTAAAAGCAATTTAAGTACAGTAAAAGCAATTTAAGTACATCAAAAAAGAATTTTTAAAATGGCTTGAAAAAACTTATCTAGAAATGCAAATACTAAAGCAAATGCAATTTTAGCAGAAATAGAATTCCTTGGAGCAAGAATCTGAAAAGTGGTTTATGTCCAAGCTCTTAAATCTATAATGGTAATAAACTTACTTAAAATCTTGAACTCAGCACATGAAAATTTTTTTAATTAGCAAAAACTTCTCACAACTGGATAAAGGCAGTCATGCCACTCAGATGGTTAAGTAATAACCATTTTAATAGGGAAAAAAACATGCCCTAAATGCATTTAGTCAAAGAATTAAAAAAATTAAGATACTAATAGCTCATTTGCAAAAACACTTAATTTCAAAGTTATATATATATAAAGGGTATACTGAACTAAATATCATAACTATAAATTAAATACTTTGAATTATACTTTTCAGGGTTTTATAAATGGCTGAATCACAACTTGTGATATTGCCTTTAGTTTAGCAACATGGAATTCTTCACTTCATCTGAAGAAAAAGAACTCAGGGTTCGTACACATTTCTGCACACGGAAATTAAGGACTTTTAAGGACCATTAATGAAAAAATTAAGGACCTATGAGCAAATGGAAACCGAGTAAATTCAATTAAAAATATATCTTGAACGCAAGTAGGATGCATTATTATTAAACATAACTTAATTAACATAATTATTAATACGTTTGAGAATAAAATTAATTTTATGAAGTAGCATTAAATATTTTACACTTATAATAACTGGACAGAGTAAGTTGCGCTGGTAAGATATATTGGATGAAATAAAAGATGGGTTTATTTTATAAAATTCAAACTTGTATTACTAATATTTACTTATTTGGTTAACTTAAGCATATATTACACACATATTAAACTAAAAACGCAATAAATTTTTATACGCATTACGAGTATACTCGTCAATACACAAAATCGTGCCACTTCTCCATAACAAGTATACTTGTCAATCACAGTTAACTGGTTAACCCACAGGTTACAGCATTGAAATGCCTCTGAAATGTTGAAGCACAGCTGTTTCCTTGCAACAAACCTACTGTATCACTTTCAAGTATTTTATTAATGCTTTTTTCAAGTTAACACAAAACATGGAGACATCTTTCTCACACACACAAAATAATAACAGGTGCTTCCATTTCTCACATGACCAAAACACTGATGATTATGGCTGTCCAATGCAAGCTCCAACATGATTTACTACCTTCACAAAACCAAATGCAAGTTTCTACACCAAATACTGGTAAATAAATACAGGCAATCTTATTACATTTCAATTAGTCTTAATACATTCTTATACTGCCAAATAGTTTTTAAATCCAATGTTTTTATATTATAACCAGTAAAACTCAAATTTACACAATCAATGATTAAAATGCCACAAGAATCTGGTATCCAGTTACATTTTAATACTTTTCCAAAATCACTTACAGAACACCATTTAATTCAAGAACACTATTTTCTCAAGATGAAATAGAAGAGTATGGCCTAACTTTGAAAAACATTCAGAACTTTTATCTGAAGCATAAGTTTTAAAATAAATGAAATTTCCCTTATATTTTGTGTACATTGCAACCAAAACCAAACCTATCTTTATGAGTATGTTATCCTTTCAGCGATGTTAATGTTGTGTTGAACCAAAGCATGTACAGCTTTCAGTCAAGTCCAGTTAAAATCAGCCTCGAGAAAATATATTCAAATTTATGAAATCCATTAAGCATTATCAACCATCTTTTAAATGAATCACCAAACATTCCTTGTTTAAAATAAGAAAGTTAGCATTTTTCAAATGACCAGACATGTGCAATTTGATGCATGCCAATACCCATTTGATCATAAAGCAGTCTCATCACAGAGAAAGGCATGCAGACCTTATTTTGCTCGACATGCAAACAAATTTTTGACACAGAAATAGAGTGCAAAGAGTTTGGTTAAATATTTTGCTCTTCTGAAAACTGCAAAAGGAAGATAATTTCATCACCTATTTGTCTTATCCAATGTCTAGTGATAACACAATCATTTCTAAATATGTACAGGCAGTCTTAAAATTTTTCAATTAGCACTTTTACTTTCAGATAGTTCTAAATTAAAATGCCTAAAAAACAACCTTCAAAAACCTGTCTTAAAAAAAAAAAAAAAAAAAAAAAAAAAAAAACTATTTGGAGGACAGAATTTGAAAAGCATTTATACTGAAATGCAAGAAAAATTGTCATTTCCTAAAAGAAGAATCAACTAAAGCTAGGATTCATTACTTTATTGAATAGCAAAAATTAGCATGATTGCAGCAGCCTTCACAGAAGTTGAACATTCATGTTTTTTGGTTCATGGGCATGTATATCATACGTTGTCTCAATTTATGCTTACTGCATTTTTTATTCTAGCATTCAGTTAAACAACTGCCTTTATTTAAAACATAGGGAAAACTTGCGACACAAAAGTGGTTTTCTTAATGGATAAAATGATAATGGAATGTTGATCTCTTAATACCCTAAATGTGGATAAACAAAAATTAGTAATTTTTAATTAAAGTCTGACAAAATTTTGGAGAAAATATGAAAAATATAAAAAGTTACAATAGAAGAATCATTATATGCTGGGTTCGTTCTAGTGAAGTTTGACAGTAATTTTATCAGGCTGTCCTTAATTTTATAAGTACAGTCAAAAGTCGTTAATTCGGACACCCATAATCCGGACCTCAAAGCTGAAAACGGACCCGGACCTCTGCGCATGCCCCGCGTTGGCTCATGCGCACAGGCATTTTACGCGTGCGTGTAAGACCTTGACTCACTGCACATATGCCTGTGCACAAATGCAGAATATGTTTTCGCATGCGCGTTTAATGTATAAGGGACGGTGTAAGCTAAAATTATCTAATTATCTATTTCAGTTAATGATTGCGTTGTTCCTTAATCTTCGAATTGGATCCCACTTATTATTTTTTGCAGACTGTAAGAGCAATTTTATAAAAGTAAACCTGAACTTTCGATTACGTCAAATAGAATTTCCGATGCTAGAACTTCCAAAGGATCTATAAAACGAAAGTATGTTTTGATGTTCAACAAACAAAAAGTGGAATTGCTGCAAAAAATGGATAAAGACATGAAGAATGTGACAGAGAGGTTAGTGAAAACGAAAAAATTTCGATTGACAAGTTAGTCGGTATTCTCGGCACAGCAATTAACGGGACTTGAACAGCGGAACTTTGTAACTGAACAAGAAATTATGTCTGTTTATAGAATTAAAGAGAAAGTATTATCACATAAAATGAAGCAAACTTAAAACAACTTACAATGAGAGAAATGTTTAATAAAGTAAACAAATAAATATTAAGCTTTTTTTTTTTTTTGTAAATTTTGATACCTTTAGATCATAATTGTTCTTTATTTCATAAATTATGGTATGATATTTTTGATTTTAGAATTTCTGCATGCCATCTTACGAGATTTAAACTGATGATCTATAATCCGGAATCGCCGAAGTCCGGACAAGTCCGGATTAACGACTTTTGACTGTACCACCAATTTCAGAGATTCTGGAAATTCTTTTTTTAACAATTCATCGCCAAAAATTCTCCATGAGAACTAAATAGCACTATCTGGTGCCAGTTACATCTTTGAAAACATACAACAGTAAAAACAAATTAGCATCACCTTCACATATGACAATGTGGTCCAACCTTTAGTTGCTCGAGGGCCAATTAAAGGTTAATATTGGAGAGTGAAGGCCAGAGACATTAAAGAAAGAAAATGAATTACATATAAATCATTAATTTAATACATCACTTTATTTTACAGTCAAGAAATCAACGTGATGATTGGCAATGCTTTTCTGATACAAGTTTATTGATGACCGCTGTAATATCAGCAAGGCAAAGTCTCGGGCTCAATTCCAGTGAAACACTTTCGGTGCGATTTCTTGTTTTTAATTTAATTTGTTAGAGAGCAGGAAAAGCACTTTCACACACATATGTGCTGCCAAACGGCAATAATATTTGCAAAGAGAACGTATGCAGCTTGGGAAAACATTCTTCAGAAATCAATTTCCAGAAATATTCAGTGACATCCCACTTTTTTAGTCTGGTAGAATGGATCTGCTTGAAGATCTCAAATCTCCATTTGAAGGTCACTTACTTCAATCTCCGTGGAGTTGCTATAAACAATGAAAGTTTGTTTTTAGGAAGCCAAAATCTGTCTTGGAATTCTTTTTTGATATTATTAATTATTTCATGAAGCATACTAAAATCTGTGTCATTTTCTTTCAGCTGCTGACAAAGTGAAGTGTGTCGTATTATTTGCATTTCATTAAGTTTTTTTTTGCAAAAGCCTTCAATATGGCCATAAACCTGGGATATATTTTGTTTCTACCTTGTGGTTTCAAGTTTAAAGCATTCAGATGGGATGTTAAAATCTGGCCAATGTTTTCATTTTTGAGGAAAGGAAGAATTTCATTCCTCAAGCCAAAAAACTGTTGCAGACAATTTCCAGCACTTAGCAGTACAATGAAATGCCAACATACTCAGCATTCAAACTATCCACAATTGCAATACATGCTCTGTCTCTGGGCTTATTAAAATTTACAACACTTTTCATTGTCTCACTGAGCCTTATAATTTTTATTGAATTATTATATTTATTATTTAAAGCAGTAAGTAAGAAGGGCATTTTGTTTTTCCAAATCTTTAACTAATATTTTCCCCTGAGTAAGAACGGCAAGTGCCAACAAAATGAATAAGAGGGCCACGACGACTGCAACTTCTGTTCATTGGTGTTGTAAACCTATTTTAAGGGTGAGCCCTTTCCCACAAATTTCCAAGACTTGGATTTTAAGACAATATTTAGTAAGAACGATTTCAAAATCTAATAACTCAATGATATAGGTGCACACAGCAACTTTTCCAAATGAGGGGTAAAGGCATGAGTTTTTCTTCGGATAAAACACAAGTGTTTAAAAAAGACTTGGCGGTAGGAATTAAAATTTTTGATGCACAAAACGCATTTTCATTAACAAATGGTTGAAATTCCAAGACAATTTGCATATAAAAAAAAAAGGCTAAATACTTTCATTTAAAAATTTAATGTTTTTGATTACTTTTATTTTACTCACCATTTGATCTTCATCTTCTGGAACTGTAATTAGAGAAAAATAAGTAAATAAGAACACATTTACCAACATGGCATTCACAAATTAAATAGCTTGCTACGAATCACTTTGAAAAAGACATTACGTTAAATAATAACTAATTAAATACCCGACTAACAGTATAAAAATATTCCAACATTGAAAGTAAAAAGAAACTACACAAAATATTTCAATGTTAAAAACATTAAAAATTACACCATAACTAAAATTATGATTCTGAAGAATGGTTATAAAGAAGAGCTCACAGAAACATTTCCAGATACAGTGAAAAACTTTTGAAACTACAATAACTTCAACAGTCAAAATAAAAAAAATTACATGAAATGCACTTTCGAATTACTATAATATGCATCTTCTTTCAGTGAACAAGAGCTTCCATGAGACATTTCTGAAACAAAGAATCTAAGACATCGATTCTTTTCTGCCCCATACAACTCTTTCAGTATTGCTAGACTATCATTCCTCCTCCTTTCCATAACTCTAAGTACAGAATGTTTTAAATATATTTGTGTGAACCAATGAATGAGTAGGCTTGGTCAGAGCGGTAGTGACATCAGACATGGTTACTGTCTGTCTACGAGAACAGCTCCCGCCAGTATCTGGCAGATGGGGGTTGCTATAGCAATAGGGCTAGTAAGGAGTAAACCAAAGGTTGCAAATTCATCTTTAAATGCACCAAGATGGCAAACTGAAAACTAAATCTTCAATGAAGCTGGAAGGAAATCGGTTCAAAGCTTGTTTCTACTGCAACAGACTAACTGGTGTGAGCTTTTCTTATGATAGACTGTATAAGGTGCTTATTATTGTGTGTGCAATTCAATGCCAAAAGTTAAATTTTGTGTATGACACTTACATAAAAAGAGATTCTTGTACAGAAACGTGTAGACAATTCAGAGAAAAATTCCCTGTCATTATGGTTCTTCACAGAAATACAATCGGAAATCTTGTTGGGTTACAGGAAAAGTTATCATTCAACGACAGAATTTGTATAGGAAAAAAGTTAACAGAAAAGATAATTCCTGAAATTCAAGAACCATTACAGTGTACTCAAACAAATCTACACCGAGTCTCACAGGAATACATGCTCAAAAGGCTCAGCCTACTCTGATACTAAATTATTGAGACATAAAATGACACCAAAAATACCTGCAAGCACACAAACACCATTTTGAACAGCTCCTACAATACAGGTGAATGCTCATTCACCATAAAAATAAATAAAATGATTCATTAATTCATAATTTAACAAATTGAAGTTTATGAGAATTGAATTTGAGTTTTCTACCTCCAGTTGCCCGGCAGAGATTTTCCAAATGCTCCATATTTTTGTATGTATTCAAAGAGATATATCTGATTTAAGAGCAGACAGATATGCCTACTTTTAAACTTGCATACCTTATTCTTTTAACCAAAATGACAGGTCAAATACAAACTTTTATTATACACAACTAATGAGAATGAGTAAAAAGTGATTACTGACCACATACAAATCCCTCTTCTTCAATGGGAGGAGAATATATTTTTGCAATGACCTCACTCGTATTTGAAATCAGCTGATTTGTAATATTTCATTTAAGAGCTTACAAAATACAACAGTCTGAATATTTAATACTGCACAACATAAAACAGAGAAACCTTAGCTACAACTGTTGAAAATTAAATATATTTTGGGGTAAGAGTAAATTAATAATTGAAAATTGATTTTTTTTTTAAAATTTACCTGCAGGAGGATTAAAGAAGTTGAAGAAAGAATCATTTTGAACTGTTTTTGTGACAGTTCTAACAGCACCCCTGGCCTTGTGCTTTTGCTTCTTCTTTATTGTCTTGATAGTCACATTTTTGGATTTTTTCCAATCAATTGTACAACTAAAATGTTAATAAAAATTCATATATAACATAAGTAAATAAAAACAAATTAATTTATAACTTTTCCAAAAACGTGTTAAAAAGATTACACTACACTTTCATATTTACACATTTTTTATATTGAAAATGCAGCATGTTCTAAAAAGCTAACTGGAGTTGATGAATTCATGAAACAGAAAAAGCTAGAATTTATCAACAAAAAATGTGTAGTGTTTCAACAGAATGCCAGACCTCACTCGAGTTAGGTAACTCATCAGAAGCTGTCGCAGTTTAGAGAGGATGTGCTACCACAACTGCTATATTCACCTGATCAGGCACCCTCAGATTACACTTGTTTGCCTTCATTTTTAAAAGGTCAAATGTTTACTTCCAATAAGGATGTGAAAAATCACTTGGATTAATTTTTTGGAAGCAAAGATCAGAACTTTTATGAGTACAGAATCATGCTACTACCAGAAAGATGACAAAAAGGTCAATTATTTGAATATGGCAAAGCATATATGAGAGCTACAGATGGAGGACAAAATAATGCAAACACCTATGAAAAAGTATGATATATTTCACACCTGCAGTACAGCCGCACCACCTGCAACAGAAGTCTGCCACTTAAAGAGTGCGAAGAGGAAGGTATCAGTCTCTCAACAGCAGTCACCTGCGCTGCATGCTTCGATCGAACTGTCTGCGAGAAGTTGAAATGTCAGACCTGTCAGAGTTCCAAGGAGGAATGATAGTTGGAGCGTGTTTAAGTGGCGCATCCGTTATGGAAACAGCAAACCTTATGGGGTGTGCAAGGAGTATGGTATCAGCCGTTATGATAGCGTACATGAAAGAGGGTAAGCAGACGTCTTTAAAGCACAACAGTGGCCGAAAGTCAAAGCTGGCTGATAGGGATAGACAAGTCTTTAAGTGCATGGTAGCCCGAAAGCACAAGCAATCGTTATCCAAGATAACATCCGAAATAAGCAGTCATCTCCAGGACGCAGTTTCAACAAAAACTGCCAAAAGGGAACTTCATGTTGCGAACGTTTATGGCAGAGTGGCAATTCCTAAACCCTTGGTGAAAGCAACTAATGCTTGCAAGCGACACCAATGGTGCAGAGATCATAAAGGCTGATCCCAACAGCAGTGGCAACAGGTAATATGATCAGATAAATTGTCATTCATCGTATTTAAGAGGACTACACGCCTCTTAAATAGAACCCCCAAAGTGTTTTATCCTGAATGCCTCTTGCCGACTGTGAAGCATGCAAGTGTGCCATTATGGTATGAGGTACGATATCTTGGCGCGGTCTTGGGCCACTTGTTATTCTGCATGGGAGGATCACATCCAAACACTAAGCATTCTAGGAAATCATGTCCATCCTTTTGTCCACTGTATTCCCTGGGGAGAGACCGTTTTTTCAAAATGACAAAGCGCCTATCCACACTGCTAGGTGTATTCAAGAATGGTCCAAAGAGCATGATGACGCAATTGAACACCTTGCTTGGCCTCTCTCGGCACTTTAATATTATTGAACATTTATGGGCATATTAGGAGTCCAAACTTTGTTCCCGATTTCCACCTACATCCGGACTTTCGGAATTAGAGACCGCTCAGCAGGAGAAATGGCTTAATATTCCTTTAAATATTGTCCATAACCTTTATGCATCTATCCCACGTCGCATTCAATCTGTACTTCAGTCAATGGATGGTCCACCCTCCTATTAATAAAGATTTTCCACTATCTCACAGGTGTTTGCATTATTTTCTCCTCCATCTGTATCTGCTTAGTGGGAAGGATGCCTTCATAGAGGACTTTTTAATGAAAACCGACTCCTATTACAAACAAAAAAACATGATAACCAAGCATGCAGCCAATCCAATGGCTACAGATTAAGATAAAGATATTGAAAATATTGATAAAAAGTCATTGAACTAAAATGGTCAATACATACTTTAAAAAATTTATACAAGGAAAAAAGTTTCATGGGAAAAAAAAATCTTCAAATAACTCAATACATACAATCTTCAAGCTGTTTTCAGTGCCCTGAGAATTTCATGTTACACCAGGACAAAGCTTTTTGTTTCCCAACTATTACTGCTTTCGGTTCAGAAAGAGGCTGCTCATAGTTATATTTCAATGTGTCTGATGATAAGGAGGAACCTGTTTACTTTATGCTACTAAACACTCAAGACCATTATAATGCAACATAATGCACTGAAAGAAAAATTGCATCAGGCCTACTGGAGACAAGCAGTGACTTTCTAATGGGCGACTACATAAAGATTTACGAAAAAAAAAAATTTCCAACTTTACAATAATTAAAAATTGCCTTTTTCCAAAATCCACATGCCTTTTCATCTCGATATTTTTCAACATTATGAAATATTTCATTAAAACTCATCTGTAATGAAAAGCTCAAAACTTTAGATAGAATAGGAATTAGTGATCTTACCCTTTGCATCTAACAATTTCAGGCCCTTCAAAGGAAAAGACATCGGTTGGATCCGGAACACATTTTAATTCATAATATTTAGTTAAAACTGTGTCAGTGAAATAGTCATTTGGTTCAAAGTGAAATTCCAGGTAAAAACTCTAAAGAGGGAATAAAAGACCATTTTAGTATAACCTCAGTTATCACAAGAAAAAGTTTTAATACATTCACATTAAAATTCAATGCTACTCTAACTGAATATGCTCTTATTTATGTGCAAAAAAGTTATGTGCTCAAAATTATGTGCAAAATTTTTACAGATCTAAAGATAAAATAATTTTAACATAATAAATAATAATATCGGGCATTAAATTTTTAATATCACACAAGACTACGTACGATCATACTTTAAGAGTCTGTGGTACTTTCTGATTATCCACACCCCCACTAACATAGTAAAAACTTGCTGCTGACTTAATTATCAAACTTTCTGACAACTTTGGAGAAAGAAGTCTGAATACCTTTTTTACATGTATTTTAATGATGTATCACCTACTACCCCCCAAAAGACATGTACTTAGTTTTTTGCACGATTCTCCCCATGATCTCCTTTGTCTAAAAAAAATTAAGAGTATAACACCAGACACGAAAACAACCTTCCTAGAAGAGATGAAACTTAACGCAAAATAAAATATTATTCATACAAATGAGAATTGAATTACAAAAGTGCAAGTCCACATAAGCTCAAACAAAAATAATATACAACTACCCAGCTTACAAAATACTTTTTGATAACATTTTGCGTTGCCTCCTGAATATTTTCTCAACTTTTCAGTGGAAGTGTAGATAATTTGGAAATACCCTATCCAATTTAATGACAGATATATTAACGATTTGAACTTTATGACTTAAACATTTAAGGAAAATCAAATACACCAAACACAAGGTATCAGACAAAATTTCACGAATAATTTTAGCAATAGTCATGTGCGGTAAATTCTACTACAGTACAAAGTCTAAAATCCGGACGTCCATTATCCGGAATGATCTAAAATCCGGAACTCAAAACCACCATCATTTTCTCGTGGGCTTTACACATGCACATTAGATCCCCCCCTCTGTGCATAATAAAACATCTGGAGAGTCGCGATTCTTAATTTCATTTTGACACTAAATACCTTGTTATTGAAGAAAAAAATTTTAGCATAAATTTGTACCATCGGTGATTTGGCTTCGTTGCTGCGCATCTGCTTGGCACACATCTGAAACCGAAACATTACACATGTATACATCGTTGATTTGATGCCAACCTGGCAAATTATTATTTGTTATGCTTTCCTTTTTATCACCGCATGTTTATTAAAACATGACAATTTTAGTAATGACTCATGTAGCGATGCCTAAACAATTTTCTTCTGTTAGTAATTTAATAATAAAGGAGTATGGTAACCTTTTATGTTGACATTACGCTTGGCAATGATTACAGATTTAAGTTAAATGTGCTAAAAATGTTGACTACGAAAAAATTTATCAAAAATTTCTTTCCATATGCTAAAAATATTTTCTTGATACTCATAAATCCAAAGATTACATTTAGGGCTATTTGAATTAAGAATAACTAATCTGTTATTCACATAAACCCAAAACCAGCACTCATATGGCCGCACTGGGTCGCAGAATTTAGGATCCACAGAGAATGCATCAGGCGGTACGATAGATATCTAGAGCCGGCCCTCAAACAGCCTTAAGTATATGTGGCAATTTATTTATTCAAGACTCAGAAAAACCTTAAGCACGAGCAAGAAATAGACATAAGTATAATAAATAACTAAACTAATACAATTCCAGCTTAATTGTCTCAGTGCGCGATAGAAGCAAGATAAAATTTAACGGAACAACTTGTCGTTAGTCGCTAACCGCATGATGCATAGCGAAATATGGATAGTGAACAACAGCTAAATTTGATGATGATAGTTGCTAATTTTAAAGGCTCTAGGATATCACAAAACAAAAGTGAAATTTTCCAATTAACGGATTTTGTAAAGAAATGTGGAGAAGTGGTAATAAATGAAAATGATATGAAAGAAGTTTTTCATTGCGATGAATGACAATGCTTCTCAATCATCAATCAATTAATGAATGGCAAAATCTGTACTATGGTTCCAAATCCAGAAAATACCGCTACCGATAGTGAAGAAAGTGACAGAGAAGTTGCTGAAAACGAGAAAAATTTCGATTGACAAGTTATAGTCTGAATTCTTGTAACACCAGTTGCAGGACTTCAACAATGTAACTAAACAAAAGATTATGTCTGTCTACAGAATTAAACAGAAAGTATTAGCACAAAAAAAAGATGCAACTTGCATTGAAATAAATGTTTAATAAGGTAAACAAATAAATATTAAGCTTTCTCTTGTAAATTTTGATACTCTTTAGATCATAAATTTTTGAAATAAATTAATAGTTTAAATAGAATTATGATTATACAAATAATACACTATTAAAGTAATATTGTAAGGAATTCGGTTTGACCTTCTACAGGTTATTTAAATTGGGAATTCCTCGATGGCTTTGGACCGCCTGTGCCTGTTCCGAAAATTCATGCGAATGAATGTTTCTTGAGAGTTTCCGCCACTCTGCCCGTGGGGTTTTTAATTGTTTTTTGGATTTTCAATGTTTTGTGCTGTGCTTCGTTGTTTGAATGTCTCTTCCTTATTTTTAGTTCATTAATTAACCTTCAATTTTTTTAGTTAATTAGCTTCTTTTTCTCTCTTCTTTCCTTTTGTGGTCTTGAGGGTCGACCCTTTATGGTCATATGGTCCAGTGGGACTAGGAGGATTGGGTCTTCCCTGTATTATGACTCTTTAGATCATAAATACTTATTTCATAAATCGCAATTTCATATTTTTAATTCTATAATATCGACATGCCATCTTACTAGATTTAAACTGATGATCTAACATACGGAAAAATCCCAAATCGCCAAAGTCCCAACGAGTCCGCATTTCAGACATTGTACTGTATTTTATTATAAGAAATTTTTTTGCAGTAAATTCTTAAAAAGTCTCAAAAGTTTAATATTTGAAGGCAGCCTACATTTTTAATTGAACAGATTCATATAAAAATTTTCTTTTAAATGTTATGAACCCTGTATTTGAAATTATCCAATACAAAATTAGAATTCATTCAGCTTTACATAAATTGTAAAAAGTACAGAATTCCTTGATTTCTTTAACATTTCATAAAAAAGAGTTAATTTATATAGATAAATGCATTATGTTTATAAATAGAAAATGTGCTTCAAATAGTTTATAAATTCATACATTTAATGTTGCTAATTTCTCAACTGTTTCATACCAAATAAATGAAGCTTAGGAATATATTTTGCCTGCAGAAGGTTTCCACATCAAATAATGCAGTAAATACATAAAAAATACATACTGTTAGAAAAGTTCACAAATAAACATTTTTATACCTTACTTCTGTCATGGTTTGTTTAAGTACATAATGAATGCAAAAGTAATTTATGTGAAAAATCAGACACATCACAAATAAAATTTTTCATCAAACTGAAAATGGTGATAATGCTATTTTACATGTTTAAAACCCTGAAGTACATTTACAGAAAATACCGATACACATTTGAATATTCTGCAAGAACTACCTGGGAAAAACTCTTAGTGAATAATATACACATATTAATTTTAAGATAACTACAATAGCTATTTAGATTTTTCCAAGTGTTTTGTAAGCATTTAGTTTCTAGCTTATTTTTTGGATTAAAAATATTTTCAACTCACCAAGATGGATGTTATGATGTCACTTCATATAACAGAAAAATAAAAACATTTAATGTCTTATATATTAATTTTAATATCATCATTTTAATATTTGTTAATGTTTGTGAAACAAATCAAAAATCACAAATCTTCGAATAAAATATTTTGTACATAACTGGCTTTAAAAAATCACCAAAATTTGATCAGGGGGCAAATTTAACACCATTTAATAAAAGAATCCATATCCCAAAAAGGGAAAAGATTTTGAGATAATATTTTATGAATTCCTCATTTGCAGAAGACAATTTCAAAATATTTCACTTTTAGCCCCAAAATTCAAATAATCATACAGTTTTTCTTACATCATGGAATGAATTGAAAAAATAACCCAGATTTATCTTGATCATAAATCAACGAACAATATTCCTCCAAACTGCTATTCACCATCAAAATGGCAGTCATAAAACCCAGACAGAAATGCAAGATGAGTAAAATTAACGACTCTTTGCCGATTTTGACTATAAGAATTATACTACTAAGGACTGTTTAAATACAATTAAAATAAAATTAATAAGCAATATATGTAATATTTATGCAGATAAACTTACTAATGTACCATATACTGAAGTAAACAAAATTAATTGATTAAACATTGCTCGAAACATAAACCTAAAATCTTCATATAGAAATGTCTGTAGCAGAATAAAGTCAGATCAAATGAAATTTAATATGATGAAGATCAAATCCAGATGAAATAAAATTGAGAAGTGGGAAACTGAATTTCCTTATAGAGTTTCATTTATTGGTGGAAAACATTTTTTCTCACTATAAACTAAAAATTAAAAGGCAGGAGATTTTTGTAACCTAGCAGGAGACTGGATTTGATGGAAAACCAGAACCGACAGCTACATTATATCAATTAAGTTCTTGCTTGGAGGATAAACCCAATTCTTTACAGTACTTAACTGATATATATTCCTTTGTCTAAAAAACGAAATAAGGCCATCTTTAAACCAGTTTTTGAAAAATACTTGTAATTTTTAACACTGCATTTGCATAAAATTAGATCATTTTCACAGAATGAAAGTCCATTGAACACAGAATGCAAGTTTTCACAATGTTTCAAGTTTACTTAATACAACTTCTTTCATTTTTCTATTGCCAATTGTGAAATTAAGCAGTTTTTTCTTTCCAAGTATGCACGATAAGTCAAATTTACAATGCAAACTTTGTGTATGTTTGTGCCCACTCCAGGACAGTAACTGGAATATGAGCTGAGCTAATTGATGGCTGCCAAAAAGTGAATGCAAGAAATGCACAGAAAAATCTCCACTGAATTAAAATATTATAAGTAAATTATATTCTCCACTGAAGTTAAATATGGTATTAGTGGTAAACTATCAAAATTCTTTTACACTTTGATTCTTAGAATTAAACACATACAAACAAAAAAAAAAAAAAAAAAACTTACCATAGGATCAGACAAAGTTACTGCTTTTATATCTATCAAATGCTTTAAAATAGGTTCATCATACTCCTAAAAATGAAAAATATGTGAATAATGAAAACTATTCTCTGAATCTACAAATAAATTTTTAATTTTCCATTAACTATTTTTTTTTAGTTCCAAGTGGAAAGGCTGTATTCTGAAAAATTCAGGTAATAACCTCAGACGAGACTTATTACAAAACAATGAAAATAAGTTACTGCTAACTGCCACATGACATAGCTAAATGTTTTTAAAAAATTTAATTCAATTTTGCTTCTATATTCCTTTTTAATGCAAATTATAACAATTACAAAAATTTAAATATTAATAACATTTTGAAAAATTCAAAAATCCTATAATTATATTTCTACAAAATTTCATCAATAGATTTTATATTGTGAATGCTAATACACAAAAGAAATTTTTATGGTGTTAGTACCACATATTACAATACCACAAAATGGTTTTTAAAGCAAAATGTCAAAAAGCACAGATAAAATTACCTCATAAATTTATTTTTCTATGCTAAGCAATACATTTTTATAATACAGAAGGTAAAATGAATGATACTAAGCACCAACAACATGAGAACAATATTCTTAAAAAATGTTAATAAACATATATAAAATAACTTTCATAATAATAAACTTTATATTCACCTCAATCAAATCTGCAACAGTAGGAGCATTCTTAAGAGCTGTCAACCAAAATTCTGGAATGCCTTTAATATCTACAAAAGATTATTTTTTGACTGAATACTTTGTTTCAAAATTACAGACATTAAAAAAAAACACATTTAAAATTTTCTAGTTTCACATTTCCTCAGAGGGGAAAAAAAACTGCATATTTTTCTGCCTATTCATTTTCTTCATATCTAATTTACAGAGTGTTTTCACACATTTTTGTAAGAATTTTCATTTTCTCCACTAACTTAAACATTAATTTTAGAATTCAAAAACGACTGGCATCACATTGGAATAAGGTTTAATTAGCGCCTTCTGCATTCAAAATATTTTCTTTAAAATCTCATTGAAAAATAAATGGATCTTACACTGTCTGAAGAGAAATACTTATTAAATTATTAAAAAGATGTGAAAAGCTAGGTTTAAATATTTCTACACATAAAATAAGTGGCATAATTAATACGAAAGGAAAGAAATGTCAAAGTTTATATCCAACTGGGAAAGGGGCAAAAAATGTACACACAACAAAGGTACGTAAAGCTCTTATTAAATCTGAAGTCGCATCTTTGTTTTAAAGAAAAATCCAGCCCCCCAAAGACCTACTACAAAATCTTTAGATGCCTATGTAGTAGGAACTGAGAACAAAATTACAAAATATAATTTAAAGCAATTGAAATTAAAAAAAAAAGTTCACTGCCTACAAACCATCTTTCTCAGCATAAGACTGTGTGCAGATTGCTGCATAAAAATGATTTGGCTAGTGAAAAATGGAAATACAGTCAAAAGTCTTTAATCCGGACTCGTCGGGACTTCGGCGATTCCGGATTATCGGTTTTTCTGGATTATAGATCATCAGTTTAAATCTGGTAGGATGGCAGGCAGAAATTAAAAATTTGAAACCGTAATTTATGAAATAAAGAGCAATTATGATCTAAAGGGTATCAAAATTTACAAAAAAAAAAAAAAAGTCTTAATATTTATTTACTTTTTTATTAAAGGGTGCTAGAACACCAAAATCTTCAAAAAATTGTGATTTCGGATTTTTTCATTTTCAAATTCTCTACACTTTTATCTTTCTAAAAATACCATTCTTTAATCTCTATGAAAATTAGAACTGTAAAAAAATTTCGTTTTAATTTGTCATCTACTGCTTTGATCAATGAGGAATTTTAACATAAAAACGTGTTTTTCTCCAAATGTGATTTTTTTATACTCGATGTATCTTTTCTCAGGAACTACTGCTCACAGGTATCTAAACTTTTTATGGCTTATTTATTAAGTTCCCTAATATTTACTGAAATGAGATTTTGTAATAACCTTAGAAAAAAAAAATTTGTTTAATTTTTTTGTGTGAGAAAAGTGCTAAATTTTATTATGCCTAACAAAATATTCTGTAATTTACTCTAAAATTCAAAATGTTTCAAAAGCTCATTTCAGTATAATCAGATAGGTATACTTTAATTACAGAAAAAAATTTCAAGCCTGTAATCTACAGCAGATTTTGAGAAAAGGTACATCGAAAATGGCCAATTTAACATTGTCGGTATAGGGGTTTCTGATACCCCTTAAACATTTCTTTCAACGCGCGCATGCGTAAAAGCTTACATTACGCACAGTCGAAATTAGAAAATTGCAACCAGAAAACTATTTGATGGGCATTCGTGATATTTATAATGACGAGGAATTTAAATCATATCAAAGACGGCGTACATAGAGATGAAATACTACATTTAGTAAGGAATTATAAGCCGAATAAAATAAAAACATCTGCTGTGAAGATTACGATAGTGCTGACAGATCAACTTCCAGTTCATTGCACAGCGCGTTTTAAAATTACTATACATTTATTATTACCAATTAATATTAGATCTGCGAAGTTCAGTGATATGTTAAGCTTCAACTAAACAACCTATTTATAAAATATTTTTGAAATTGATTTTGGTTCTTATATTTTTTAATTCATGACCAATTAAAACATTAAATTATAACAGAAATACTGATTACTTATAAATTTTTTCCAGTTTCTTCAAAGTATACAATAAAGTAACATTAACATGAATGTTAAAAAATTACCATACCAGCCTCAGGCACATCCATTTTTGCTTCAGTATCATCTTCAACTTTGACTTTCTGAATTTCATTCTGTTAAAAAAAAAAAAAAACAGTATTAAAAAATTAAAACACAAGATGATTAAGTTTTCCATAAAGCTAATTTTAAATAAAATATTTAAAAAAAATTCTTACTGATAGCTCAGCTTCCTTTTCAGAGTCTGACTGGAAATCACATTCTTCATCAGTTGGGATTACATCACCAGCTACTATAGCAGCTCGCTTCAGAAAATCAAAAATTTGCATTGTTTATAGAAACTCCAAGTGATAAAATGACTTAAAAACATATATTAGAATAAAAGCTAAACAAAACTTACAATAACACCTCTAGTACAAGCCTAACACATTCTAAAAGCATATCATATACTAAAATATATTTTCTGAAAATTAAAAAACCTTATAAAAAGTCTAAAATCCTTATGAATTAATGGGAATTATCTGTACTTAATCAACCACTTTCTTCCCTCTTTTCTACCACAAAGTGATTCTTTGCAGAAATGATGGCCATATCATTATTTTCTATTATTACAAGGTTCATATACATTTCTGGACATAGAAATTAAGTATTTTTAAAGACAATCATTGAAAAACATTAAGGACCTGTCAGAAAATAGGAAATTATTAAATTAGAGCACCATTCTAAGAATAAAACAGGTCTGCAAGATGCATTATTATTAAACATTATCTAATATTTAATATAATTATAAACCAAATTCAAGAATATAATAAAGTTCATAACATTTATCAAGTCACAAAATATATCAAGTCACGAAATTTCATGAAACATTTATATTTTAGACTTATAATAGTACTACATATTTTAAAGAAGATTGGTGGCATTAAGTTTTACTAACAGCTTTATGCCTCATTTCATTGTGTAGTCCAGAGATTTATGAACATTTGATGTCATGTGGCAAAGGTTAAAATGAAGGATAGAATCATAATAGCATGATTCATAATTAGTAGCTTGGATATTGTCATCACTGCTACTTGCCTAGAAAGATAGCTACTGACGATGTCATTAAGTTAAAAGTTGGAATTGTCAAAATAAGACTCAATATCTAAATATTATGAACACAATACAATTTCAAAAATTTATAAAGAAATGCTTTGAGTAAAATGTAACTATGCCTTCAAATTAAATTCAATGTAATCTTTGCAGTGATTTTAATCATTATTTCTCTTAATAGCATTTTGACTTTTTTTTCCAGTGGTTAACATTGGTTGGTTGAACAGCAACAATTTTATGTAAGTAGTGATTCATGCTTTTAGCCTTTTTTTATGCTCATCAGCTGTTTACAAATTTTAAACTGTATGGTCATTTCTTGTATTTTAAGTTCATAGTATCTTACGTATTTCTAAGCAGAATGAATGATTTAATTGGCCTAAGTAACCTGGAAAATGGTTCAATACAGAATTTCTCATAATGTAAAAGCTATAACAATATGAACAAAATTGTTCAGACATTTCCAGCCAGATATGAACATATGCCTACAAAAAAGGCTCATTTCTTTAAAAACTACATTAGACACATTTTTTATCATGTTATTTCTTATGAATAGCAAGATGTATTTATGTTAACCAAAAGCATATTTTCTGCCAAAGAAACAATACAATACCTATTCATTCTTGGTTCACCAAATATTAAATTTCCAAACTCGTAATACACACAGAAAATGAGAGCAAAGAAAAATTTCTCAACTTCTTGAGCATTCAAATATAAATTCACCATGTGACTCATAACTATTCTGAATGTCATTCTTAATATTTTATTTTGAGCACTAGACTGTTTCTACTAAACCATTATCTTTTCTTCGTATGTTTTTTCACATAATTCATAACATATTTTACATTAGCACATCTGAACTATGAATCTTTTGATGTTTTACTTGATAAACAGAATGCAGAAACAACTAAATTGTACTTTACTAAAGTACCAAAACTTTCTCTTAATTATACATACCTTTTCATATAATGATTCAAATTTCTTTTCATATTTTATTTCAAGTTCATGGAGTTCTTTAAAAAATTCTACTTCCAAATTCACATGAGCCAGCTGAAGTTTTTTTAAGGCTTTCACATTCCTTTTGACTGGCTTTGGCAGATTGAAAGCATTATTACACAGTAAGGAACCTAATTTACTGTTTAGAGCTGCCATTATATCAGCATCTTTTAGACCTTCTGTTTCTGCAAAGAAATTCAAACAAGAATTTATCACTATAGAAATATTTAATGGAGATGCAATTCTTAAGTTTTAAAAAATAACTAAATTTTACTTACAGTCCTTTTTTTTTACAGTCAAAATGTTTGCTCGCTATTTACACTACCTCCATGAAACACACTTGCTATAAAATAATTAAATTTCAGTGAACCCTTTTATGATAACCACCGCCGCCCAAACGGTATAGTGGTTAGAGTCGCTGACTTATGTGCCGAAGGGCTCGGGTTCAAATCTCAGAGAAGGCATGGATGTTTGTAAATGTACAGTGTCGGTGCGGTATGACGGCACTCTAAATATGTGGTGAGCCAAAAGTCCTTTCGTGTGGTTTGATGGAAGTGAGAGGGGTGGAAGATCCTCGGACTCATCCACTTGAGGCGTTCTGCAAAATTGGGGGCGGAACAGAGCTAAATCACACTGTCACCTGACTAGTGCTCAAGGCTGTTGCCAATGGAAACCAGCTCTCCTTGCCATGAAGAATTTCCTAAGCATGGGCTGATTATGTCAGACAAGTGAACATAAGCAACAACTATAACTACCTGCTTAAAACAAGTGATCAATGTTTCAGAGAGCATGAACCATACTGAACATCACATCTCTAACAAAATCTCCTTCAAAGAGCAATCAGTTGAAACTATAGATCAGTGATCGATAACTTATGACATGCAAGGTCATTCTGGGTGACATTCATCACATTTCCAGAGCCATCAATGGTGACAAAAAAATTTCGCAATACAAAAATATTAGTTTCTTGCATTGGCATCATCACTAAACATGTACTGCGTTTACCCACGGCCATCTGGAAAAACATGGCCCGGTTAGCTACAGAGTGACGTCACAAAAAGCGTCCGAATCTTCAGGCTTTGCTTTGGGTTTGAATATGTGCATTTCGTTAAATGTTTAGATTATTTTGTTTTAAATTATATATAAATTAGTAATTAAAATTTTCAGAGATTTACGGAAAAACGTATATAAGAGGTCGTTTATACATTTTAGTTAAGACTGATAGCTTCAGAGGTATTTTAAGAAATATTCATTAAATTTTCTAGCCAATGTTTTACAATATTTTGTATTATTTTTATACTGCATAGTAATGACATTTTAAGATTTGCTGAAAAAAAGTTTTAAATTAAATAAAGATTGCTATTTATTAACATAAATAAATACAGTTTATTACAGTTTGATTGTTCTTACTTCCACTAAATACTAAAATAAAATTCTTTAATAAATACTCTGAAAAATATATTTACAAAATTTACTGTTGATTTCACTGATCGCAAATCTTGCAGGTTTATTTTCGCAGATGCGAAGGAAAGGAATGAAAAGGATTCCAAAGTATAAATAATTAACCGAGAAAATATAAACCCTATTTAACCAATTAAAAGACATAAAAGCGATTTTTATTACCTTATCACAACATAATTATTAATAATTACTGCTGTTTTTAATTTTAAGAATAACTTGAATGAACAATGAGTAATATATCCAATGCTTTACTGCAGAGCTTTCAAAAAGTATGCAAATTATTTTTTATTCCTTTCAGTATTTATCTAACAAAAAGAAATGGAGATCAAAAGTCGCCGAAAAATTAAAATTTCCTTAAATGCTCTTGGGATTTGCAACATAAATTAAATAAAGCTTAATTTTGTGCTGCATTACAGCAAGCGAATTATTACTAATTAATGATATCCTTATAATCTGATAATAAAGAAGAAATCATAAAAGAGTGAACAGATGATGGTTCAATACTTCCAAGATTCTTAGGAATGTCAATTTTTTTTAACCTTTCTATGTCATCTTTTTTCACTTGAACCTAATCAATATATAAATTCACGAATTATTTTTTTTAATGCCCCAATAGATTTTTAACTTTACCTTTTCATACTTGTAATTAGCTTCATTATTCGTTGATACATCAAGCTTTAACAAGACTAGGGTTTTTCAGAAATGGTCAATGCATAGAAGGCAGATTAGTTGACTGTCATAGAGGCAACTATAACAAGCAGCTTAATTAATGATTTGATTTGACTTTAGTTTATTATAGCAAAACAGAAGAGGGTATTTGCATGAGGTATGCTTTCACAGAGGACTTTCTCAGGCAAACTGGCTCATTTACACGTTATACATGGGGAAAATCACGAAAATGCCCTTCGCCCAGCGGAACTACCAGTGTTTAGCGATTTTACCGCTCTGTGGCTGGTGGGATAATGTATAACGAATAAGCAAAGACTAGTACCTTTCAGCCATTTTACTTTTATTACACATCTTAATTTTTTCCAAAATAAAATGTTTTATTCCTCAAGTAAGATTCTCAAATGATTTTTATTCAATATATGCTTCCTAGTTATATAGTGGTAAGTCATAGTTCGAATTTAATGTTTTTAATTACTATGCTTTTGACATAGCTATAAATGTTTTCAAATTCAGTCCATAAAGTTTAGTATATCCATTTAATATATTTTTACATGCTCCCATTTCAACAATTTCTTGTCCACGAGACACTGCTGTATTCATATGAAGTGATAGTTAGATACATTTCCCAACTTTAAGCTGTAGATTAAAACTCAGCAATAAAATATAATTTATATCAGCAGATTTTAGCTGAATCATCTGAAATGTTTAGCTTATAATGAAGAAGAAAAATCCTCAAAAGATGCAATTTTTTTCTTTTTCAAAAATTGATTAAAAATATGTTTACCATATTGGCTCTTTTTTCCTCTGGGCTAATTTTCGGAGATGTCGGATTATCAGATAAGTATTTTGGACAATCAGAAAAAATGCATGGATAAGCGTAATTTATAATTTAGGATGTCCTTTACAAACTTAAAGAACACCATCTTTTGATAAAAATTCGTACAGAATGATATCTCAAAAATATTTCTCGCATACGACGCTCACTCGGAATTTTTATCTAGAAATCCCGTTTTAGTGTACCTTTTGGAAACTTGAATATCTGTATATATTCACTGGTTTTAACGTAATTCGATTTGCAGACTGAAACACAATATCATGCAGGCATGAAAGTAGACTTAACTGATTTTAGCTCTACATAGATGTCAATAGCTATATTTATTAAAAAATACTAAAGAAATAAGTAAACTTTACTACCAGTATGAACTTAAAAACCAAAACAGCATAACTGCTGTACTTTACTTATCTCAAATTTAGTAATAAAAAATACGTGAATAATAAAAAACACAGTGCAACGTTAATGAACAGCACACAAACTAACATAGGAATTCTTCGCTTGTCCACAGAGAAGTGCGAAGGGTGAAAGTTGAGACGCCTTTCGCGATGCCGTATCACGTGACTTTGAAGCTGACCAGGTCATCTATTCACGAAGGTCACGGTTTACCTCAGGTGCATTTAAATGCATTCCTGGCAGGTGTATAATAAGGATGATTCTATATGTAACACAGCACCACAGTTACGGTGGGGGTTTTCCGAATTTTAACATGCCAAGCTCAAAACATTTGCCATCAGTGCTGTAAGTGGTATCTTAGAGGGTTTACTATATACCATGGGTGGCCAAAGTGTGGCTCGTGAGCCTGATATGGGTCTTGCAGGCAATTTGTGCAGCTCGTGGATATGAAATATATGTATGAAATATGTTCAACTAAAACTATTCAGTGTCCAAAAAAAGTAATTGGTTTAAACTCTTTTTACAACGCTATCAGTGATTTCTTTCTATTTAAAACCTCCTCCATTACTTCTATAATGATGTAAATATAAACTTGTGGCTTTTAGAAAATCTAGATGTGGCTCTCAAATATTCCTGAATTCAAACATGTGGCTCTTACTGACATGAAGTTTGGCCAACCCTGCTATATACAATAAAATTAAAGTACACGTGTAATATATTAATACTAGAACAACTACTTGTAGCAATCATGAAGAAAAGTCTTGTTCCAAAGGACTCGTATTTTACATATTAAATGATAAACAGTTATTAAACATGAAAATGTCCGCTCCACCAACTTCTGAAAATAATTACATATTTACATACAAGAAGCCTGATATTTTTTTATTATCAGTTTGTATTATCTATTAGCTACTGAAACAATCCAGCAGAGCTAAATATGCTAGGACTATTTGCTTTGGAGGATACCTTCATGGAAAACTGGCATGTATCCATGTCACATATGAAGAAAACCATAAAAGTACGAATGCAAACTTCTGTTCACCATAATATGAACCTAGATTGAATTACCAATATTCATGGCTATTATTTACTTGGCATTGGCCAGTTCTCAGAGACAAAACAAATCAATGATTAAGAAAAATAAATAGATAATGTTCAGTAATTACGAGATATATTTTTTATTAATTTACATGACAATTCCAGAAACTTTGAACCAGTACACGATGCTTTAATTCAGTATTTAACAGTAAGCTTTTATTTTATCAAATGCAGCTATTAAAATGATCTTTATATGAATACACTGAAATTTTATATGCACTTTTATGGTTATTGCAGTAAATTAAAATACAAAAAATAAGATATTTGATAGGCAGAATTATGGATTTTAAATGTGTAATGTAAAGCGAGCTGGGAAGCTGCAATGCGACCAATTTTCAACACTACTTGTACTGTAAAATTATACTATCCTAAAAATATATTTTCAATATTTACTGCCTATACTTTGTGGTAATTAATATGAGAATTTCTATTACACTTCATACAACCATGACTCAGACAAGCTTCCAAAGTAAAAGGTGTGACAAAAAAAAAAAAAAAAAAAAAAAAAAAAAAAAAAAAACTAAGTGCGTAGCTTGAAAACAGAGGAGTTGGCAACAACTGTTTTGGTAATGTCAAGCCACACACCTCCTCTATCCATGCCGCCAGTTTCGACTTAACAGACCACGCCCGTGGGAAGTACTGCGTCATTAATTGAACGCATGCTATTTCATTCTGTCAGGAAAATGTCTAATATTCAAATCGAACAGAGAATTAACATCAAGTTTCTTG